GGCTGGGACTGGTCCCGCTGGCGCAGGGTAGCAGGAAACTCTCCGCACACTCACCGGACCTGGGCTAGGACTGGGTCTGGGGGCTCCCGGAACACGGCAGAAATGAGAGATATTTTTAATTTGAAAAATAAATATCAAATTTTCATCTTGGGAATAAAGTAAATAGAAAAAAAACTAAGAAGGCTGTATTAAAAAAGAACACCAGTTTCACTTATGTATATTTTTAAAACAATTCTATGCCAAAATTTAGGAGAAAACTAAGAATGTGACTAAGTAAAGGAGCTCTTAAGTCTTGTTTGCTTTGAAGGTATTTGCCAAATTGGGTGAACTTAGTAGAGTTAAATAGGAGTTGTGCCTGTTTGCAGTGCCTCAAACAGGGATAGTTGAAAGTCAGCCCAGAGCTCATTCAAGGGAAGCTAACAAGGAACATTCTGCCCTTAATTCTGGAATCTGAAAGGGCTATTTATTCATGAGAGGAGTGAAAACTCACTCTACCTCTAAACAATTTCAAGGAAAGTAAAACGGGGGGTGGGGGGGTGGGCTGCCCTTGGAAGGCTGTGGCCACTAAGAAGATCATATGTAGAAAGTTTACATATCTTGGTGGTCTAGAAACAACTTCACGATGTGATTTTGCAAAAAAGATTCTATTTTGTGGCCTACGGTTTATCTTTTGAAAAGATTATTACCTTTGCAATGTCACAATTATAGTACTATATGAAGAGGCAGTATATCTCCTGTGATCATGCCATTTACAAAAGGATTTTGGAAAGTTATAATTCAACATGAACACCACTTTAAATTGTAGAACTCAGTGGTTTTTCATATATTTATGGCATTGTACAATCATCTTTACTGGTTCAAGAACAATCTTGTGTCTTCCACCAAAAGAAACTTTGTACCCATTGTGGTAGCTTCTCCTTTTATCCTTCCCTTTTCAGCCTGTGGCAACCACTAATGTTTTGTTGGGATTTTCCTTTTCTGAGAATTTCTTTAAATGAAATTGTGTAACATGGTCTTTTGTGTCTAGTTTCTTTCACTTAGCATAACGTTTTCAACATTTTACATGTTGTAGCACGAATCAGCACTCATTCTCTTTTTAATATTAACTCATTGTCTGGACATGGCATATGCACTACATTTTGTTTTATTCATGCATCAATTGATGGATATTTGTTTCTATTTTTTTCACTTAAAAAAAAAATAGCTTATAGAACTTGTCCCAGAGCTAAGTTTTTTCACTCTTATAAATAAGGCTGTTGTGAACATTTCTGTTCAAGCTTTTGCATGAAAATGTGTTTTCCATTCTCATAGGTACATATAAAACAGGAATAAGGATCCTGGTAATTTTGTGTGAAGTTTCTGAGGAATTGCCAGTGTTTACAAAGCAGTTACACCATTTTACATTTCCACCAAGGCTTCATTTCTTCTGCATCCTCACCATTAACTTTTGTGTGACTTTCTGATTAGTGTGTGAAGCAGTATTGTGGTTTTGATTTGTGTTTCCCTAATAGTGATTGGTGTTGAAGTCCTTTTATGTGTTTATTGGCTATTTGGCTATATTTGGAGAAATGCTTTGCTCATTTTAATTGGGTCATTTGTCAAAGTCTGAATTTAAAATGATCTCGAAAAAAACTATTGTCTGGAAGAGTATACTTTCATTTTTGGCTTTAAAAAGTCTTAGCATGATCATTGAATAACTTAAAATAACCAAGTACACAAGGAAATAAGATTTGTGAGGAGTATAGAAATAGTAAATAAATAGAAATCACCTATAAAAGCTTGAATTACTATCATAGATCATTAAAATAGCACTGCTGTGCTACATTTAAGTAAAGTGTATGTTGTTTTAAGACACCAAATGTGTGGTAGTTTGTTACAGCAGCGATGGGAAACTAATACAATAGTCAATGTATTAGAAGGAAAATTGGAAATTATAAGTAGTCCAAAAGAAAGCATGACAGGAAAGAAACAGAACAAGTAGAACAGATAGAAAGTTCAAGACAAAAGGATAGTTTTAAACTCAACTATATCAGTTATATTAAGTATTTGTAAATATTTAAGGCACTGGAATTGAAACCCCAAATTAAAGGGGAAAAAAATGGTTAATCTGGACTAAAACATTTCAACTTAGTGTTATTTATGAGACATCTGAGGTATGTAAAGTTTAGTAAAATGAAAACAAAAAGATATTCTATATAAATATGAAGCCAAATTAATTTTAGGTTAACAACATTTTTTAGAGATAAATTGCCATAATGATTTAAGTGGTTAATGATTTAATGATTTAAGAGGTTTAAGTGACCAATAAGTTATAAAAGCTTTAAAGTTACACAAGTAGACTAAATGTAAGAATACATAAATAACAAAGTATGTATATGATACTGGGATAACAAATTGGGAAAGATAGGTTTGGATCCATTTCTCTTAATGGATACCAGGATGACTATATAAAAATAAAAACATACTAAACACTAGAAAAAAACAGGTAAATGATTTATGACCAATATATGGGAAAAACAATACTATAACTCAATCCAGAAATAAAAAGGAAAAGCATAAAGGAGTGTAATTACATAGACATATGTATATGTTTATATATTCATGATATTCCAAAATTTTATACCAACATGATGCCCCAAGTGGAAAATTCCATACCATAAAACTTACCTCAAGGTATGTAGGTGTGTACAGAACACAAGTTAATTTCATGTTTAGACTTTGTTGCTATCTACAAGATATCTCATATATGATCAAATATTCCAAAATTTAAAAATTTTAAAAATTCTAAACACTTATAGTCCCAAACATTTTAGATAATGGATACCCCAGTTGCATATTTGTGTACTGTAAGTATGTTGTATATTTGTATACTTATAAGACAACATAATTTTGTACAGCACAAAATAGCAAAAATGGTAAAAAGACATAACAAAGTAGAATAACATTTGCCACCTATCTGATGAACGTAAGTTAATCTTCAAAGTATACAAAGAGCTTCTAAAACTAGAAAAGAAAAAGACCAACAGCTTTATAAAAAGATGAGCAGCAGATACAAAGCAAAGAATTCTTAAGACTAAATATACAATAAACATGGACTATTTTTTATAACCTTATATGAAAATAAGTACCCAGCCTTACTTATAATAAGAGATGGAAATTAAAACAACAGAAGATAATCATTCATTTGCTATCCCATTGCCAGAAGTCCAGCATTTAGACATTTTCTTGGTGACAGAAGTAAGTGTTCTCATGAGAAGGAAGGGGTCCAAGAAACAGAAAGCAGGGAGGATAAGTGGGAAGGGAAAATACAAAGAATTAAATTGTGCTGTGTACATGTACCAACTCCCCATGAAGACTAATCATTATGCATTGAAAACTATACTAATAAAAGTGCATTTTTAAAAAAGAATCAAGTACTCGCATATATTGCTATGTGGAATGCCAGATGATAATCGCTTCAGAGAAAAGTTAGCAGTACAAATTTACACATACATACTTTTGACCCAGTAGCTCTGTATCTTATAGATAAGTACTAATAAACGTTTGTGTGTAGGGCTCCCGTGGCACTATTTCTGATAGAAAAACATGAAACAATTCAAATTGTGATCTTGATTTTAACAAAAATTATTAAAATTGAAGCCATAGGGGAAACATAAACATTCAGTAGTTGCTGATTTTAAATCATTTATATGATAATGCTATTATTGTTATGCTTTTGAAAAAAGAGTACCTTTCAGAAATACCTGGTATGTTATACTGTATTACAGATGCTGTTTGTTTTAGTGTTTGAAGTGATCCACTTATCTTTCAATGCCAGTGAGAACCTCTTGAAGTTAAGTCCTCAGTCCTCCTGCATATTTTAAAGATATTACTTAAGTGTTTATGGTTAAAATTACAAGATTGGAACTTCTTTAAAAAAAATTAAAAGACAAGGTAAGTGAGAAGGTAAAGCTAAAATAAGATTTGCCCTGAGTCAATAATTGTTTAATCTAGGTAATGTGGGGTTTGTTGCCCTACATTCTTTTGCATATATTTAAAATTCCCACAAAAAATGTGGAATTTAAATAGGCATCAATGAAGAGAATGTATTTGACATAAATATATTAAGACCAAGGTAGAAAATTAGACATGAAATTCTTCTAACAATTTTATGGTGACTGTAATATAAAATATACTCTCTTTATTTGCATTGGGTGTGTGTGTGTGTGTGTGTGTGTGTGTTTGAAATACAGAGTTCAAGATATATTTTTTGTTAGTGTAATTCTAAGGATCAAAAGAACTCATAAAGCATACAGTTATTTATTTATTGGCCACAATTATAGGGACTTTGAATTATTAAAATCATTGATCCAGAAGAAATGAAAATTTTCTCACAACTTACATTAGTGCTATATAATCTTTTAAATTTTGCTGAAGCAGAGATTTAGGTATTTTAAGTAAAAAAAAAAAAAATTGATAATGGAATTAGATTTTCCTTTCTTTCAGAGTTTACCTTAGAAATCATTCATTTACTGATGTTTGAGCATGCCACTTAGATAACATAAAATCCTAAGTTATACAAAAAGCATGTAAGTGAATAAAATCTTAGGTTTTTATCTTAAATATTTTTGCTTTAGATCCATTGCTATATCTGAGAAAGATAGATAATATGATTAAAAGTGTTACCTAGTAGCATTAAGTATGATAATTTTAACTTGCTTTCTGTTCCACCAACAGGTTAATAATAAAAATTGAAAGTTTTTATATTTTGTTGAATATTGGAAATTGAATGTAATGGCAGCAGAATTTATAAAGAGTTGCTGTAGAGGATGTTTCTATGGTGAAACAGAAAAACATGAGTGTGAGTTTTGTTTTAATTTCAGTAAATATCTGTTTATTGTCTTCTTTTTGGCATTTTGTAATACAGACAAATTAGGAATGTTTTCCAATTTGAGGGGGAGGCAGAAACAGAAAGCACACTGGGTAGGTATTCCCGAACTCTATTTATCCTGGAGCATAGTGAGAAGAGGCATGAATTTAATTCAAGAGACATCCTGGACATCCAAGAAGATGTCATTTGCTATGGGAGCCCAGACAAGATTTAGCAAGCTGAGTGGAAAAGTAAGAGAACATGAAATTGGATATGAGAGGTGAATGGAATGATATAGGAAGAAGCAGGTTAAAAAGTGTGTTTTAGAGAGCAACATATTCTACTAAATGTTTTGACATAAAAAAATTCTAATTTATGAGCAGTACAATGAAGAAGAAATTCAAACTTTTTTAAGACCCATATTTACCAAGGACCCTTGAAGATTTCCCTTTCAATTGCATGGTTTCATATCTCTTCAGAGTTATGACTGGAACTTTATTTTTCTCTGGCTCTTTTTTGTATTTCTTAGTCTAGGACAGAACTTCTTGATATATTTAAGTATGAAGATATTTTAATCCGTTTTCTAGTACCAGTAACACAATGCCACAGATTGGTAGGTTTTAACAAAAATAGGTTTGTTTTAGTTCATGGTTCTGGAGGTCCAAGGTGAAGGGGCTGTATCTAATGATGGCCTCTTTATTGGCAGACTTCCCAGCCACAACAGAGGACATCACAGGGCAAAAGGAAGTGAATGTGTGTATCCTGGGCAATCTCCCTCGTATAAAGCCACCAGCATTCAAATACCTAATCCTAATTACCTCCCAAAGGCACAACCTCTAAACATTCATTTTATTGTCTCCACCCTCTTAAGGCCTGACAATGGGGATTGTACATTAGCATATGAACTCTTGGGGGCAGGCTCTAACCATATCCAATCTGTAGCAGAAAGCTCTTTTTTACATAAAAAATTTCTTAAATTCTAGGGAGTCGACAAAATGCTTATAGAAATTTAGACAGAGTTGCTGTTATAACATAGGTCTAAAGTAAGCATGTACTTCATGTTTCAGTGGAGATTTTTGTAGCCTTGGAGAGTTTTGGCGTCTCAGAACTGGTTTATATATTTAAGACTCTTGAAGTTAATGGGTGGCACTAGCAAGAATTTCTTTGTTAAGAGTATGTGTAAATAACTAGATTTTTACTTGAAAGCATTGTGAAATTAACTACAAAATAAATTGTTTCCATCAATAAATTCTTTAAAAACTGCTTTTACTATTATAATATGATAATGTACTTTGACAAAAATGTATTAGTTGTTCAAACACTGGCTAGCCAACATTAACATAGGTTATGGAAGTGCTTGTTAGGATCCAATAGTTTATCAATCAAGAATTTCTTCTAAAATGATTAAATAAGTACCAAAGTATTCCAAGTTCAGGTTATATGTAATCGATATGCATATCTGTGACTTTTTTCTACTTTTTTTCTTTTATATGCAGTATCTATGGAAAGAGATTTTAAAGTCACAATATCAAATACCCAAAATACTACTGTTTCTGTACCTCCATTGACTCCTGTTCCTGTAAAGTCTCAGATTGGCTGTAGTGAGGATTATTTGCTTTCCAAATTGCCATGTGATGGAAAAGATGTGCCATTTGTGGTGCCCAAGTTTAGGTTATCGTATATTCAGCCCAAGACACAAGGAACACCCTCCCATATGGAAGAACTTGAAGGTAAACAATAAAATGGCAGAATTTAGAAACCAACGTGAAACATTTAAGTGGTGCTATTGCCATTGTTTCGCTCTTTTGTATTTTAATACAAAATTTATATAAAAGCTTTAAAGTTTGCTTTTTGTATGTTTTGCTCTGGAAGAATTTAATGCATAGTATTTTTGAAAGATCACATTATGGAATCTGATCAGAGGATAACACATGGAGTTCAATGATTTATTCAGAGTTTTCTTTTATAATCATAAATTTTATACACAGTGAGCTGCCCAAGTAGATGGTTTTTGAATTTTTGTATGTATTTGTTGAATTTCAAGAATGTATTTATGTAATGTTGACAAATGTGTACAATAGTATATTCCATATTCTGAGTAAGACCTAGAATATTTGTCCCAGCTATTTTTTTCTCTGTTCTGTACATCTTATTATGGATCTCTCAGACTATTATTTTTTGTTATGTTTTCTTCTAATCATTTTTTTCTCCTTTTTAGATTGGATAGTATTTTGATCTATTTTCTCTTCTGTTACTTTTATCATGCTATTAAGCCTATCCACTTAATGCTTTATTTTAGACATTGCATTTTCAATTCTAGAATTTATATTTGGTTCTTTTTATAGTCTTTACATCTCCTCTGCAATTTTCTAATGTTCTATTATTGTAAGTTTTTATGCTTCGAGCTTTAAAATCTTTGCTAATTTCAACATTTGGGTCATCTAAGTTTAGATTCTATGGATTACCTTTTTCTTGGGAATAGGTACATTTTTCAGTTTCTTTGTGTATATGGAATAGTTTTGGGTTATATTCTGAACACTGAATGTTACATGCTGTGGAGACTTTAGATTTTGGTATATTAATCTGTGAAGTTTGTTCTCTCTTTCTATTTCTTTCTATCCATCCTTTTTCCTCTCAGCAGACATGTAATTTGGTCAATTTAGACTACAAATTCTGTCTTGGCTGGTGGTTCATGGATCAGCTAGATATTTGAGCAGACTTCGTAGAAGTTGGGACTCTCCAGGATTCCCACTTTTCTTTTCAGGAGCTTTGGTTATCTAGAGTCCTGCCATCTGGTTTTCTGTGAATTTCCTGTTGGAGGAATTAGGGATTGAAGCCAGGGCCTTTGCATTAAGCTATATCCTCAGACCTGCCTTTTTTTTTTTTTTTTTTCCTTTTCCTTTCCTCTCCTTTCCTTTCTTTCCTCTCCTCTTCATTTTGAGACATGTTCTTACCAGGATGCCAAGACTGAGTTTAAACTTGCAATCCTCCTGGTCAGCCTCCCAGACTGCTGTGATTACAGGTGTGTGCCACCATACCTTACTACAGATGTCTTATGCATCTGCATGGTATCATCTATGACCTACAGTCAGACTAAAAGTCTTCACAAACAGCTCACTTTGTGTCGTTACATGTTTTCAGTGAGTCAGTTCCTATCTAGAATCTCCACTACTTTTCATTATTCTTCAGTCCTTTGTTTTAACTTGGTTTTACTCTAGAGCGTATTGTTATCAGTAAGAGAGTTGGGTCTGATAGCAGTAAATGTTTTTCACTTAAAAGATGTTCTGTATGAAAGCAGAAAAACAGAAAGAAACTCAGATCACAAAATATAGAACTGTCTTAGGACAAAGAAAAGCACCAGCAATTTATGAGTCTTAAGAGTAGGATTACTGTCTGCTCTCTTACATAATACATCTCAGTTAGAACTTTATAAATACATGCTGATTTTATTTAGATATCAGAGGCTGGGAAAATAGCTCAGTGGCATAAGCACCTGCCTGGCAAGTGCAAGGTCCTGAGATCGATCTCCAGTACCAAAAAAAAAAAAAAAAAAAAAAGACACCTAACATTTTCTTAGGGGCCGGCCTAATAGCTCAGCAGATTAAAGTGCCTGTAAGCAGGTGCAGGGGCCAGAGGTTTGTTCCCCGGGCCTGCCGTGCGGGCCCCGTTCCCATGGCGCGTGGAGACAGCAATTGAGACTGGGCATGGTGGTGTGCACCTGTAATCCCAGCTCTTGGGAGGCTGTAAACAGACAGATCACTATGAGTCCAATCTAGTAGTGAGACCCTGAACACCCTTCCCTAAAATACAAAAAATAAAATAAAAATAAAAAGATATCAGAAGCATGTAACTTAATGTGACTTGAAGAAAACATTTTTCCTTTGCTTTGAATATACCTTGAATATACCTTGAATATACCACCTGTTTGCTAATAACTCCAAGAA